AGGACACTGGCTTCAATTAAACACACATCTCAGTATATGAAGTGACAGGTCGGGATGATGTGAACATAATTGAAAATGAGTTAAGGGGAATGGCTAAAGTGACTGATGGAATAAAAGCGTAAACATCATACAACACACACACACACACACACGCACAGACACACACACAGACATGTTGCAATGAGCAGTGGGGAAATGGAGTGCAGCAATCTGCGAAAATATGATTAAAATCGTATGTGTGAAAAGCCGGCGTCACACACAACACTACGCATGAAAAAGCCGACACACACACACACAGACCCACAGACACACACAGACATACATACAGACTCACACACATACTGAAGTCCCATTATAAATCAACTCAAAGCGACAGCCCTTATGCTTCAAAGTCATCTCTGAATCGCTTATCCACACATTGAGCCTCTCTATAGGAATACCAATTTATAGTCCTCTGTCATATCATTCAGGGAGTGAGGGAAGGGTTGAGAGAGGTAGAGAGAGAGTGGAGGAGAGCGAGGGAATTATCCACAAAGTAGCTATTTATACATTTCAATCTTATCGAAGAAGAAAGGAGATTTCTGCTGAAATATTGACATCCACAAATACAGTATACTGACATATGAATGCTCTCAGTCACTCACTCATTCACCCACCCACACACTCACACTCACAAACACACACACACACACACACACACACACACACACACACACACACACACACACACGAGTCCCAGGGCTGCAAGATAAGAGAGGAGAGTGTTCTGGGGAGAAAGCTTCCTCATTGGTGTGCAAGGCTGCACATGTTCCAACCCTCCCTTATATCCCCTGTGTGTATGTATGTGTGTGTATGTGTGAGTAAGAGTGTGTGTGTGTGCGTGTGTGTGTGTGTGTGCATGTGAGCACTCCCTCTCTTTCCTTCACTGCCACTAAAAAGACACAGAGGACCTATTGTGCCCAAGGAAGGAAAATCAGTCCATTTTCAAAAAAAAAGAAGGAGAGGAATGAACAGCTCTCTCTCTCCTTCCGTTCATCTCTCCCGACCTCTCTCCCTCTCTCCGCCTCTCACCCTCTCTCTCTCTTTCTTCTCTGCCCCCCCCCTCTTCGCTCTCTCCCATTCACACAGCAGCTGAAATGGCGAAGCTTGTTAAAAAGGAAGCCCACATGACAGCATTCACAGCTTTGCTTACCGCAGCATCTCCCCTGCTCGCAGTGCGCCTTTGCACCACAAGCCTCGAAAATGAAAGCAACTCGATACGGCGTCTAAAAAAAAAGTTAAGGCAGTGAGGGGGCCGCGCATGAAGGTGAAAGGGTGGGGGTAAAAAACAGACGAGAAAGTATTAGTATACGGAGTAAATGAGGCGTTTCATGCAGCAGTAACAGCAGAACAACATTAAATGAGGATGTTTTTTTTTTTTTCAGGTACAGCTTGTTCACTGGGGAACACGATTTTGCTGGAAAACAATATTATCCAAAAACTCTGCTTACTGAGTGAAACTGAGGCTCCTTCCTGGTAATACTAGTTTATTGGAACAATCTATCACGGCAGAATTGTGAACCGGTGGGGATTTAGAGATGTCAGTGGCCCAGTTCTTACTTGATGGATGGATATGAATGCACCTCTGTGGAGTCGGAGACGGCAGATGAATCATCATTCTTGTTCATCTAAACTTTGCTGAGATCCGAGGATGTTGCAACGGAGCTAAAAAAAACTTAAAACCAGTGAACAAGATATGATCTATTTGGAAAAGAGAAGCTGAGGGTAACATTTTGACCAAGCTTGTGAACACTAATAGCAGATAAAAGACTTTTTGTGTAGTTAATCTTTGCCCTAAATGTTTGTAGTTTTGTGTCACAAATCAATGCATCAATCCCAAGCAGCTTCTGAATGTGAGCTAAATAAAGTATACTCAAATAAAGATCAGCAAACCATTCTTGAATTGTAAAGTTGCTTTTTATATGCACATTTTAATCTCACTTGTGTTTAGTCTAAAGAATGAAGTGGCCTGATTGATATGATTATGCACGTAAGATCAAAGTTTTTCTTTTGGATATAAGAAGACATGTTTGAGTCTATCTGCTGAAAACTATCTGCTGACACAGTTTGGAGGTTTGTATCTACATATATAAGAACATAAAGGGCATGTTATTAGTCTGATTATATAGTCGTTTTATATGATCTTAAACGTTGCTTTACAATTTGTCTGGTTACCTGACGGATCATATTTATTGCAACATCAGAATATAGTCTTGTCTTGTCCATTTTAAGGACCCGTCTCCACCTTCTTCAAATACTGAATCCACATGTGCGCCTGAGAAGAGCAGACAAAGGGGGATTAGCCATTACATTAGCTGTTTACACCTCACAGCTCTGTAGAAGGACGAGTATGTGCACATGCGCACGTGTTGTTTCATTACAAAGTCACAGCGCCAACTACTGGCCTGGCATGTATACTACTTTGTTTTTTTATACTTTTAGTGGATACATGTGCACGGCAGTTATCAAAATGTTGTCATCTGAGGGTGAAAATGTTTTTATGAAACGAAAGCAAACAAACATTTTACGTTTTCAGTGGATAGATTTCTTCTAAGCATGGCCTTCACTGCAAAAACTAAAATCTACACAAGTGTATTGGTCTAATATCTTGTCAAAAACTAGGGCACCGGTGACCTATAGCGATTAGTGCGCGTGCCCCATGTACAGAGGCTGTGGACCTGAGGTTCAAATCTATACTGTTTCTCCTTTCCCGCATGTCATTCCCCACTCTCTCTCTCTCCCTGGTTTCCAGCTCTATCCACTCTCCTGTCTCTTCAATAGAGGCACAAAAAGCCCACATTCAAAACAAAAAACAATCTGAGTAGACTCATCATGAGCTATATTTATCTGACACATCCTCCACAAACATCTTATTTCAGATATAACAAGGGTTAAATAAGATCTGGTTTGCATGATAAGAGTAGGAAATAATCTGCCAATGGGGCGAGCAAGTTTTACTTGTTAAGTTTCTAAAAATGAGATGTAATGTCTTATTTCAAAAAACTTATGTAAAACCTGTTTGCACCATCGGTAGATTCTTTTAAATACCTATTTTAAGCATCTCAGGCCTTATTTTTCCTTGTAATGTTTTGAAATAAGGTGTCTGTGAGGACTCGTTAAATGTGGCGTTTAATGAGTGTTATGAAATATTCTTGAGTGGAAATAAGATAAATACATTTGCTAAAGATTTGAGTTTTTGCAGTGTAAAACAGCAATAATCGGTGTATTTTGAAAAGCAACAAAGCAAACCCGAACAACAATAAAGAAAACAGATTTGAATCACTGCAAACACAACTAAAAGTCTTCACTCACGAGTGTTTCTCACTGCTTTAAACTGCATTTCACAGTCTGAAGATCAACACTTTCCAAAGGGAGAACCGGAAGACGATGAGCTCCAGAAAAATCTCACAGCTGAACATTGAGTTCAGTTACTGTTTCTAATTTTCCTTCATTGCAAACCAACACACTAACGCTAACAGCAGCTGATACAACCAGCTTTCATGCGGTATGCAGGGACTCCCTCAAAGCCCTCCAGCTTAGACAGACCTACTTTTTGAGGGGTTAGATTTCCAGCAACACACACATAAAAAAATGGAAAAATCCAGCCTTTCAGCAAATCTACATTCCACCACAAAACACAACTTTTCCAACAAACTCTTAAAAAGGAGGAGATTCGCTCATCTCCATTTGAGAGCCCTGCGCTCGGGGGCCGTCAGATTGGAACATGGCCCTAGTTGCCGGCAACATTTCAGCACCTTGGACAGCTACACAATGGACAGCAGAGATCCAGCGGAGGCAAAAAAACATGGGGACAAAAGACAGAGGAGGAGGTGGAGGAGGGTGGCGGTGAGGGGACATACGAAAAGAAAAAGGGGGGGAGAGGAAAGAAATTTGGCCGCTGGGAGGCCATTCACAGAGGATACAAAGAGCCAATGTCAACTCGAGTTGAAGGACACAAAACAGAATTAGCATTAGAGCTGGCAGCACAGTCCATCCATGTCAGGAGAGACGAAGACGGACCTCTTACCGCACGGTGGGAGATAATTCACATCATTTAGTAATGGTCGAGCTCATAAGAGATGCTTTCCCACAGAATTCTTGTTTCCTATGAGCAAATTTACAACAATCAAATGCTACATCAAAACCGTACCTATACTGTTAAAGACTTCACAGCAGAAAGAGCAGCACCTGTTCAAAAGTGTCTCGCCTTTCGCAGCCTTCATCACTATAGGTGTCAGTTTTTTGAGCAGAGCAATGCAGAGGAATCTCACACGGGAAGAAATGGTTTCAAGCAGAGTCAGTACTCTTTAAATCAGACTGCTCTCCTCCGTCTGCAGCAGCGGCACATTTTCTTTTACTGCTTATCCACAATAGGCAATTCTCCACTGGTACTAATTGCTTTACTAATGACACTTCTTCTCTCCTGTAAGATTACAATTCCTGACGAGCAGCAGTTGGTAAAAACAGAGCAATTTTTTCTCTCTACAAAACTCTCTTTAGGCAAGTATATATATATATATATATATATATATATATATATATATATTTAAGGGATACAAGCTCTCCAGTACTTGTTGAGATTTTGAAGCATTCTTTCTCCTGATGAAGAAAATATTGAGCCCCTTACTGAAACATAATGTCGGTGCACCATGGAATGGATCAAAATGGGGACCTTGAAATGCTGTGTCAGGTCAGAGAAAAGAAGGAAGCTGTGGCCATCAGTCAAGATAGACAGCAGCCAAAAAATGCACCTCGTCAATCACTGGAAGAGCCATCACATCTCAGCAGAGAGAGAGAGAGAGAGAGAGAGAGAGAGAGAGAGAGAGAGAGAGAGAGAGAGAGCTGCAGGCATTTTCACTGGCTCCCACCACTCACTCACTCACTCACACACAAACAGCCCACAGCACACCGCAGCAGCCACAAATAATTATGCACATTTGACGCAAAAACGTACCCCAAGCTCAGGATCTTGACAAAGTGCTTCAGTGAAAGTTTAATGGCGCATCTCCGCCTGCGCTGTATTGCTCCCCCCCCATAGCATACACAATATTCTCTAGAAGTTGTACATCTCCAAAGACACTTCATATGGAAAGCAAAATAACATGATTCTCCCTGTCAACAACTCATTGATCATTTCACAACCAGTCTCTTTTTTTTTTTGTCATTTTTTTTCTTTTTAAACAGACAAATAAGTCTTCTATTTTACATAAAGATTTGATTCCTTAAAATACAGCACTTTCAAAAAAAAAAAGAAAAAGAAGGAACATTTCCATGTTGCGAGAGCATTGTTGATAAAATAGTCGAGTGCAAAGGCACTTTCTGGAGTTAAGTATAGTACGATTTTGCCGCTTGTTGGAATCTGAAAAAGGTTTCCCTTTGATGGTTTAACACTCACCATTTATCTGTGTATGCTTACTATGTACAGGAATGTCGATCCGGAACATTTCCTCTTCTACAAAGAATCATTATTCAGACTTGATCCTTTTTTTTTTCTCACAGGGGATTAGAATACAGTTTTATGAAAAGCACAAAGCCGTATTTGTACACAGTCCTGCCCATGGTATACCTGCCGTCGTCAAAAGTCTTTGAGAGTTTCATTTTTCCAAAATAGAAGAAATAATTTAAACCTTCCAGGGGAAAAATAGAACTGCATAATAATATACTTCTTATACTCCATTTATACAGCTTTAAAATCGAGAAAAAAAAAGAGAAGAAAAAAGGAAGAAAAATCATCAAAGACTTCGGTTCGCTTCCATCAATCATGTAAGATTGAACACAGATAGATAAGATAGATATATAGAGAGGGCTATTATTACAGTAACTGCGTGATTATTATGAATGCTGCACAGAACCTGGGAGGAAGGGGAGGGGGAATTGTCGCTATCTTACAATTGGCTCATCGCAGTCTGTTTCTCCAGAACCTCCAGGTAGTCTGGTTCTGTTTTTAGCTTCCCGTGGAGCAGCAGCGGGTGCTCATTGTTTTTGCAAGGGTTGTCAGCCCCAAAGTATTTCCTGGGGGTCCCGTACAGCACGGTTTTATTCAACCTGTCCTGGTTGGTGATGTGCCGCCGGGCTGTAGCGACCTCATAGGGGGGCACGATACAAGGTCTCTTAGGTAAGGTGCAAAAGTTGTAATGGAAAGGGGGAGCGCCTGCAGCTGCAGGAAGCTCCTTATTGGGCCTCTCCCCTAAATTCTGATACAGCATCTCAGGGGGGTCCGGCGTGGTCAAACCGCATGATGTCGGAGATTTATCCATAAAATCCATTGTGCTGATGGTGTAGGCCCCTGGGCTGCGGATGTGAGCCTCATCCTTTTTCGCATCCAGGGGGCCCAAAGCTGAGCTCCTTCAGGTTGCGGTAATACGCCACCTGTTCCCCATCCTTCTGCATATAAATGGGGTTTTGGCACATGGAGCCCACAGGTGGGGGGATGTAGTTATAAACGTGGCTTTCAGAGGATTTGTCTTGGGTGGGTTCGGGGGTGTAGGAGCCATATTGCACTTGGGAAAGAGTTTAGATCTAAGTTGTTGGCGCCTGTGGGGACATGTTCCACTCCTTTGCGCCGCTTCAGAACGAAAACAAAGAGACCGGCGCCGAAGCAGACGGAAAGGATGAAAACCACCAGAAGCCCGAGTATCAGGACTGAGAGAGGAACCTCGGGGTGCAACTCAGGAGTGTGGAGTCGGGATTCAGTGGGGCTGACTGAGCTAAAAGAAGAAGGAGAAACAGAGGAGGGGGAGGTGGGTGTGGAGGCCTCTGTGCCGGGGCTTAGTAACGTGGGGGCTTTTGTTGGGGGGGCATGTTGTGGAGTGGGCACCTCACTCGGCTCGGGGCAGATGGCCTCGTTGCGGAGTGAGCGCAGGAGGCGACCTGCGTGTTTAGAGGGGGAATCGCAAGTGATTTCATTAACCACCACGCTGGTGCTGGACAGCTCCATCCAGTTTTTGAGTGCCACAATGTCACAGGTGCAGTCCCAGGGGTTCTCCTGCAGATCGATCTGGATGAACGCCGACAGCTGGTCCAGGACCCCTCGCACAGGAAGGTAGGAGAAGTGATTATTCCGCAGGTTGAGTCTTGTAAGCATCGTGCCACCGAACACGTTGTCAGGGAGCGAGCGTAAAAGGTTGTTGTTGAGAAAGAGCAGCTGCAGGTTGTGCAAAGCGTTAAAGGTTTGTGGCAAAATATCTTTGATGATGTTGTATTCCAAATACAGATACTGCAGCGACTGCAGTCCAGCAAAGAGTGACTGAGAAAGAGATTCAATGTAATTCCCATTCAGATAGAGCCGTCTGAGGTTGGTGAGGTTCTCAAAGGCCCCTTCCTGAATCACTGCTATCCTGTTGTTTCCTAAATGAAGCAGCTCCAGTGAGCTGTATTCAGTCAGATCAGTCCTGTAAATCACTTGTAAGTAGTTACCGGTCAGGTGGAGTTTTTTGGGGTAGGAGGGCTTGGGGTTCAGCTCACTGATGTTGTGCAGCTTCCGCTCTTGGCAATTGATGTTGAGTCCACTGTCAGGGTTTTGTGATGTGCACACGCACACACTTGGACACAACATGGGCACAGGGGAGCGTGTCTGGTAAACCATGATGGGCCCGAAGACGTGTTTGTCCTTTGAGATGCGAGGAGTGGGCCTGTATCGCATCTTAGGTGGCCGTGAAGCTTTTGGGGCTCGAGTGGGGGTGATCCCGCCGGGGTGGTAGGTCGGGGGCAGGGCCCCTTGAAAGTGAGAGTCAGAGGGGGGTTGAACCCGCTCACCAGCATTCCTGCGTGGGCACAGATCCTGCTTTATGAGCTGGGTGATGTCTTTCCCATGCAGCCTGAACGGCGTCTCGCACACTATGTCCCCCACAAACACAGAGATAGTGTCCAGCCAGGATTTGAGGGGGATCAGATCACAGGTGCAGTTCCACGGGTTCTCCTCCAGCTGGATCTCCATGATGCCGCCTATGTGCTCTAACACCCCAGCAAACGGCAGCATTTTGAGCCGGTTGCCACGTAAATCCAAGTGTGTGAGCAGCACAAAGCGAAAAATGTTGGGAGGCAAAGATAACAGCAGGTTGTCATTTAAGATCAGCACTTTTAGCTTATTGAGCTTACTGAAAGCACCGGGCTCTATGGCACTGATATAATTATAGTCTGCCTGTAAATACTCCAAACTCTCCAGTCCTGCAAATGTGTCCTCTTTAATCACCTCCAGGTTGTTATTGTTCAAGTGGAGCCGCTTTAGAAAGCGGAGCCCGTTGAAAGCGCCAGTTTTGATCTCCTGCAAGCCATTATTCCCAAGATGCAGTGAAGTGACATTGCCATAATTGACAAACTCATTGGCGCCGAGCCGTGACAGGAAGTTTCCGTTTAGAAAAAGCTGGGAGATTTTATTAGGGGGCGCCAAGAACTGACTGACTGTGGTAAATCCTTTATTCTCACAGTTGATGTTGAGAATATTCTCCCTCTCCTCGCAGGTGCAGCGATTCTTGCAGATTTCTTTGGAGGCTGAAGTTTTGCGGCTCTGCGTCTCGGAAGGTGTCAGGCTTGTGACCGTAAGGACGCTCAAAAAGAGGACGCCGCTCAGCATTTTTACAGCCAAAAATGGTCGCTGAAATATAGATCCAGCATTTAACTTTGCAGCGTGAGCCTTGTGTGGAAAGAAAAACACATCAGAGGATGACTTTCTCGCTCTTGGGAGAGGAAAAAAAAAAAAAAGAGGAAGACGCGCTCACACTCTCACAGACACACACTCACACACGCACAAGCACACAGGCGCCCCCCAAAAAAAAGAAAACTGGCGCAACACCGTTATTTATTTGGTGTTAAAATGGGAGCGTGACGCAAGGGAGATGCGCAAATCTCTCTATTGACCTTCGCTTTGAATCCAAAAAAATTCCAAAATCCCTCCCGAAAAAAAAATCAATCATGAAAAATAAAAAAGGCGAAACCATGACAAATCAGCTATGTGGTGAATAGACTTGGCACATTGTCAGAGGCAGAGGAGACTCAGGGGGGGGGGAGAGAAAAAGCCGCTTGCTGCAACCCCTTTTCCTTACAGAGAGCGCCGATTTATTCAGAGGCTTCACGCAGATCACCAGCAGCTGCAGCCAAATATTCACAGAGAGACGCGGGCTGCGAAACGCTGCCTCTCTTCTCCCCCACACAGAGAAAGCGCGACATTTTAGTCCAGGCAAAATAAATCACTTTTTTGTCTTTTTTTTTCTCAAAGATCCAGAAATAATGCGCTAAGACGCACCATGACGCACGGCCGGCTCTCCTTATTCCCGTCTCCAAAAGAAAGGTGGCAGGTAAAAGTGGACTGGAAAGCGAAAAAGCGAGCCTGGAAAAGAGTGAACGAGCTGGGGAGATATATAATCCCGGAGCTGAGGCATAACTACAGCCCTGTATACCCGCCGGTCCTCCTCCTCCGCTCCGCACACTCAGAGCAGCACTGAGCGTCTGCTGCTGCTGCCTTACTGCGTTCGTGTGTGTGAGTGTGTGTGTGTGTACGTCTGTGTGAGAGAATGGGAGAGAGAGAGAGAGAGAGAGAGGGAGAGGGAGAGAGAGGGGGGACAGGGGCCGTTACGTCACCGACACATTCAACATGAACCATACACACACACGCACGCACTCTCACACTCACGTGCACAACCTTCATAATAAGAGATAACTTTCGTGCTTGATTGTGATTTTCTTTCATCAGATTCAGTTTGATCCACAGCAACATGATGCATTTGCCCATTGAAAGATCGAAATTATACTCCACCTACTGAAGACCGTGTATTACTCTGACCATTATTAACCCTTTAACTTTTTTTGCCTTTCAAATTAGGGAAACCTCTCCTCTGGAAATAAACTAATACGAACAATGCAACTGAAAACATTAGAGGTGTTTTTTTCTGATTTAAAATGTTTATAATAATTTCCACTTTCATTATTTGAAGTTAATTTCAGTTTGCATTGGTTCCAATACACACATTAGGTATGTCACTACTAACAACCCAGTTTGAATAAAAGCCTCTGGATGAGCTTCTGCTGCAACAGCAAATAATGATGTGATTAATCTAAATAGCTGCACAGCAGGGGAATGTAGCAGTGCAGGGTAAATGGTGCTGCTGCCTCCCTCATAGTGAGGTTATGAGGAGCTTTTTGTTTTTTATTGGTATTTTTACACATGACGCCACTAGGAGGCAGGAAAGGTCTCTTTTCAGACCCTCTGTCCCTCTTACTAATCCCTGCCATGGTTTGGAATCCAGTCTTTATCTTGATGTCTTCTATATTTACACATTTCACATTCTAAATGTGCTACTATTAGAAGAGATGTAAACACACATAAACACCAAAGGAAATAATGCTTTTGAATAATATAACGCAGACACACACACACAAAAATGTGTCCATGTATTGCAATTGTTGCGAGCTAGAAATACTTATTAAATTCAATTGAACAGAAGAAAGCATACACTATAATTAACACAAATGACATACTTTTATTTCATAATTGTTTAATTTGTTAATAAAAAATCATCCTGTCTTTTCACGTTAGTTAATACAGGGGTTAAAAAGGTAACGTAAACGTAAAAAGTCAGGTTCACGGTCAAGAAAAAAATATGCATGTCTGCCGTTTTTGTTTTAAGGACCCGATGCTTCTTGTGAAAAATAATCGTAAAAAATAGTCCTGGCAGTTTGATGGGTAACAACCGAATTGTGGGATTCATAAAGTATTTCTGATTCTGATCGGTGCAACAAAATATCTTAAAACGTGTAGTGTAGAAGTAGGCATTAAAAGATAAACACACACACACAATAAAAATATACATTTAGTTAAGAAAAATACAGATACAAATTGAATGAATAAAATTAAAATTAAAATCATGCATATATGTTAATTAATATTGTATAAAAGCTTTTTCAAACTCTTAAATAAACTCAAACTTAATTTCTGATAATCATTCTGTAGTCTTCAGGCTTTATATGAATAAGTCCTTTAGGTCATGTGATGTGTTTACTAAATTAAATTAATACGTTTATTTTCAAACAGGGCCGGTGATGTGGCTGCCCAATTTCACAACTCAAGGGTGAGAATTTCTGGTTTTTGATGATGAATTAAATGTATGATATCAGGCTGCGATAACGTCTTGGACATTTTGGATAATGTCGGGACGTCTTTCAGGACTTTTTCTTTCCTTTCTCTCTCCACCCTTAAAGCTCTACCTCTGTTTGAATGAGTCTGAAGAACAGAAAGCAGCCCTGAGATGAACTATACGGGCTGCAGCCATGCATATTGGCCAAAGCAATTCCCCTTATGGAAGCTAAAGCAAAAAGCATGGCATACCTGATTTGTGAGGGAGTACCTTTAACTCCATGAAAGTAGAGGTCAGAGACTTTGGAGGCAGGATAGGAGTGACGTGGGACTTGTGGAGGACTCGGTCGGGAGCCTGGAGGCGGTGATCACAGCAGCTGCAGTGGAAGTGCTGCAGCCTGACTGAGGCGTGACGACGGACTGTGACAGCAGGCCAGGGAGCGGGACACAGAGGTGGGTGTCAGGATCTGACAGGATGAGTTCAGCTCGCCTGATATCCCCAGAGTTAGAAAAAAAAAAAGGCCACATAGCAGCAACTATTGCTGCTTTACTATTATTGTATAATTCAATAAATGCATGGCAACAAATTAGAGTCCCACATTGATGATCTTAATGATGATAAAGAATTATGTCCATAATGATGAAAGTCACACTCAGCCTTTTTCTTTGTTTATTTCTTCTTCGTTTTTGTTTTTTTTATTATTGAGAATGATGGCGGCCTCAGACTCAAGTGATGATTGATGTGGGGGAGCAGTGTTGAAGGGAAACGCCTGCAGGTTTCCACATGAGACCAGGTGGGTATATATTGTCAGAGCGCTGCTCCACAGCACATTTGTCAAGTCAATCACAAGCCGCTGAGGATGACTGCACCTGAGGCTTACGTGTGCGTCTGTGTGGGAAGCAGATAGAGTGCAAGGGGAGAGGACCGAATCTATTTTGAAGTTTACCTAAATCTTCATTCTGAATGTTTGAAAGAGGATTACTCGACTCACCAGCATTTAATACAAAACAATTAAGAGCATTAAGAGCTGTATAAATCTGCACAGCAGGGTTGAGGAAAAACACAAAACGAGTGTGTTTACTGGACTTGAGTATCCCGTCTGTGAGACTTATCCCGGTTTGGATCATATTCAGGATGTTGACATGCTCACAGTGAAACCCAGTTAGTCATATCCCTGTATGCATGATAAAAACTCACATCCTGGTTTCTGATTACAACATCTTATTTGCGCAGTAAACAGACTGCAGGTTGTCCTTTATGTGCAGGTGATTGTAATCAGGTAACATACACACTGTAACCTCATGTGTCTGATTAAATTGAATGCAGTGCAGATTTGTGTCCACACAAACAGATGTTATAGTCAACTAACAACAACTCAGCGGTGATCAGCCGACGCCATCATTAGACACGGACGCCGCTTTATGTGTCGCTCTTTATGAAACTGTGCCTTGTGTCTCTTAAAACATGTTTCTTAGTTCTCTCTCTCTCTTCTGCTTCCTTTCCCTGTTCTCACCTTGCATCCCTGGTGGGAGGGGCTTATACGCAAGTGAGGGACGCTTGGATGCATTTTAGGAGACACGGGATGTACACTATGATTCATGACATGGCCCGCTGCCTGACTTCTATATGCTGCCGTTTAGTCTATGTTCTTGCAATATAAACAGCAGAAAGCCAGAAGCCAGCTCTGCTTCTATACTTACAACCCACAGACCAGACTCACCATTGTTCTCCGTGCAGAGCGTCTGCAGGATGATCTCAGGTGTAGCTAGCCAGAGATCTGTCTGCTGATGGCCCTCCATTGCCCCTTTGTAGGTAGAGCACTTGGTACTGAGTGGTCCCTTGTTTGTCTCAGGCATGGCGCCCAGAATACGAATGTGGTTTTTGACCGGTTAAATATTGTGAAAGTGCTTGAAAAAGGCTTGTGAATTTTTGCTCCCTTCTTTTTTCTCCCACTGTTCAAGTTTAGCAAAGCCCAAAAGAGACGTCAATCCTTCAGATAGAATCCAATCGTGCAAAGGATTTCCCTCGATTTGTGATTTTAAAAGCCTTGTTTCATGTAAAAGGCTAATAAATAATAAACTAAAAATTCCAGAATTATTTGTTTTTTATGCTCATATGTTGTTGACTTTTTTCCAGATGGGTTTCTTCTTGCCCAAGAACAATCCCCTGTGGCCTCCCTTTCTTTAATTGCACACTCCACCACTGTCTCTAATCCTGTTTGTGTGTGGGAGTGTGTTTTGGAGGGACATTGAGAGGGGTGTGGGGTCAAAGCGAGGTAATGAAGAAGTGGATGAGATGAGGATTGGGAGCGGGGGAGTTGGTTGATTCAGTGCAGAAACACAGAGATAGAAAAGAAAGAGGATTCTCACAAAAAAAAAAGAGATTGAAGGATTGCCGTATTAATGGTTTTGACGTATGTCTGAGTGCTAGCCGCCGCGCTCGGGTTCACTGTGGGACCAACGCAGAAGATGTGCTTTCATAAAAGATTCAAAAGGAGGAGCAAATCCGCCAGAAAACAAAATATACATGTGTTATTTTTTACCCACACGTCATGTCAAACACAAATCTAACATGATGTGGATTATTTAATTATTAAAAAATGATTTGAAGTGAAATATTAAGATCTGTTAGGACTCTTGGAAAAATTACAAATCATACAATCATTCTAATTTGCACTAAATTATTCTCATTAAGAATCAAAGTGAGATGTGTGTGAATACATTGTTGCAAATTGGAATGACAGATTTTTACGTTAAAGAAATGTCTGACAGAATAAATGATCTTTCACAATGATGAGAGAGAATTCACAGCATCACATTTCTGATATCTGTGTTAAACTGTTACACAATGAATGAAAAATAAGCTTTCTCTTTGGCAGAAAAACAAGTGAGTATAGTTTTTTTATATTTCTGACTTTCACTTATTCAACGGAGTATGAGGGCATGTTTAAGGGAAAAAAATGAATATTTCAAGATTCAAGTCATAAATTTACGAGGATTAAGTTGTATATTTACAAAAATAAAGCCATAAATTTACTATATCAAATTTGTAAATTGATGTAAATTAGGCTTTGGTTAAAAACGTTATTCTAATAACTTTATTCTCGTAAATTTACGACTTTATTCTTGAAATCTCTTTTCCTCTTAATGTGGGCCTAACACTCCCTTCTACACTAAAACTAAAGACATGTGAAACTATTAAGATGAGATGTTTATGGGCGAGAGAGAGATAGAGAGAGAGCGAGAGAGAGAGAGAGAGAGAGAGAGAGAGAGAGATAGAGAGAGAGAGAGAGCGAGAGAGAGAGAGAGAGAGAGAGAGAGAGAGAGAGAGAGAGAGAGAGAGAGAGAGAGAGAGAGAGAGAGAGAGAGAGAGAGAGAGACAGA